CTTCCCCGTTCTGGGCTTCAGCTCCCTCTAGCGCTAAGGTGTGAAATGGTTCCTTGCTCCTGGGCTGGAAAGTGCAATGCAGGTGGGAGGGGGTGTCTGAAGGCCTGTCTTCCCCACAGGTGTGAGGCAAGGACAGAGTTCCAGCCTCCGTCATGACCGTCCTGGTTGCTTTACTCTGCCCCATGCCAATCGCTGCTGAAGCTCCCTACTCAGAGAGCTCTGGCCCAGGGCAGAGGAGTCAGTGTCATTCTGGGCCTGATTTTCAGAGATGCTGAGCACCTGTGGTTCACCCGATGTCTGTGGGAACTCCAGGGTTCTCAGTACTTCTGAAACTCAGGCAATTTATTTCAAATGCTGGGCCAGGACTGAGCCTGCAAAGGCAGGCCCATATGCACCCCTCAATCCACAGCAGATCTCTCATCAATAACAATACAAGCAATTAGGAGAATGATGAGGGGCAGTTGACCCAATGCTGGGAGTGGGGAGGATATGGTCCTAATGTGGTCACTAAACTTCTACTTAGTAAAGTTACTGGTGCATCTGCTGTCATTCAGTGGGAGAACAAAAGTCTTTTGGGTGCTGCAGCCTGCCCAGGGTTCAGCTGCACTTAACCTGAGTTGCTCGCACACTTGCAGCGGTTGTGCACCATGCAACTGGTCACCCATGTTACATGAAAATCTGGCTCTGATGGTGTTGTAATTAGACTTAACAGTTACTGCCGTATTTCCTAGAGCTGTTGTCCCAGGCTGGCTGCAGACTCAGGCAGACAGAACTGTGTCGGCTAGCCGCCCATCACCTTTGGAAGATTTTCCTTGTAGCCATAAGGGCTCGAGATGGCTGTGTTTCTTCACTGAAAACTTGCAGTGTGCTGCCCCTGAATCCCAGATTAATACCTTGTGTGGGTAGGTGCAGAGCTCGGGGCTTGAAGGCCTCTGGTCTAATGGTCTGAGCCAGCGCAGAACTAGGAGCCTCAATCTCCTGTGTTCAAAGCAGGACTCTGACAATGACTCCCCGAGTGACCTTGGGCAAGTCACGTCCTGTTCTCTGCCTCAGTTTCCCCCAAAATGGGGGTCTATTAATCAGCTCCACAGGGCTGCAGGGATGGATGGGGATGCAGCCTTGGAAGGTGGCACGTGCTGAGGATGGTTACACTTTCGCAGCTCTTTAACCCTGTATCCTCTGGCAGGGTCATGATCCACCCCCGCAGGTGGACTGGTAACCATGATCTCCTCTTCCTTCCCCCCCCCCGCCACTGCATTGCTGTCAATAGGGCCAGCTACAGGGGGGCTGATGTCACCTGCTCCGATCTGCAGCCGGCAGCCCTTGGGCAGCAGCCGCTGCTGTGGCATGGGGTCTGGGACTGCCAGAGCCGGAGGAAGCGGGCTAGGGAGTGATGCGGCGGCTCGGGGAGGAGGTGGCTCCGGGCTGGCAGGGGGGGCGCGGGCGGGCAGTGATGTGGGGAGCGGCGGAGGGAGGCGGCGGGGCCCGCAGTTGCAGAGGATCGCCCGCAGAGGTAGGTGCTAACGTGGCTGCGAGAGGCCCATCCCCCCGCTGGGAGCAATAGTGTAAAAAAAATTTTTTGGGCACCGCTTTTTGGCGCCCCTAAATCTTGGTGCCCTAGGTGGCCGCCTAGTTCGGCTAGTGGTTACAGTGGCCCTGTATACTTGGTATATGTAGAAAGCTTTTCCTCCATAGATCTCAAAGCCCCAGATTTTTAAAGGTATTTTGGCTTTGATGTGCTCAGCGCTGCAATGTCTAACTGATGTAGGGGCCTAGGTCTCATTTTTCAAAAGGGGTTTAGGCTCTTAGGAATCCAAATCCCATAGACTGTCAAGGGGATTTAGGCTCAGGCATCTGCTGACATATGATCGTTTGGGGGAACCTAGTGACCTACAGATCTCTGGGGTTCCGTGGGGGGAGAGTTGCTTCATGGGAAATCCCTGGGGGCCTGTGGGTTGGACACTGGGGATGCTCTTGACCAATGGGGGGGCTCCGAGTCTCCTGTTGGGCAATTCTAGGCTGTGGATCCCCACCTTGCTGGGGACAGCAAAGACTATTTTTTTGGGTAGTGGGGAGAGTGTAATCCCTTGGGGTTTAGAGAGCATGTCCCCTTTAAAACCTCATCTTAAAGCAGAGGAGGTGCAGGTTGTTCCATCGGGGAGGGGGTTGAGAGAGAGAGAGGAAGAGTGACAGGTGTGAGTGTGGCCTTTACATAGCAAAGCAGCCGAGAACCAGCCAAAATGCCAGGAAGGACAGAGTGCGAGCCAGGAACATCCCAGGATGGGAGGCAAGAAGAGCGCTGTGCCAGGAAGGAATCACCTGAGAAGGACAAACTGAAGCCAGACCCAGTATTGCCATCGCCCAGAACTATACTGGTCTGTGAGTACTTGGGCTTGTGACTTTGCACTGGGAACTAAGGAGGGAGGTTGTAGCTAGTTAAGTGAGTTTGTTGCACTGTGTGGGTGTGCAGAGAATGGCAGAAGAGGGCACTGGAAAGGTTTGTTCGGAAAAGTTTACTGGTGCCAAAGACAATCAGGAGCACCCAAGAGTCACTGCTGGACTAGAACTCTGCCAAGGATTCCTGAGGTCTGAATCTAGATGCATTGCTCAGTGTCTATCCTTTTATGAGGGTAAAGTTGGGCCCATGGGTCCTTGTGTTGTCTGTAACTCTGCTTTACTGCTCCCCCTCTCTCTTCCCTCTGTTTTCCTCCATTCATACCACTGTCAATAAATAGTTCCTTTGCCTGTATTCATTGTATTAATCCAGTGTGCGTATGTATTTAGTCAGTGGGGTTAGGAACAGGTGCTCCTGGGGTGGAAGGGAGATTCTCTACTGTGTTCCTGCATGTGCCTTTTCTTGGCCAGAGCTGCCCTGTAGAGCAGACTCCATCTTGGCCATGAGGGTAGGGTGGCCAGATGTCTGTTTTTTTTTTTACCAGAAAGTCTGGTTGAAAAGGGACCTGACCGGGTGTCTGGTCAGTAGATGTGACTGGACACTGTCTGGTTCTGGCGAGCAGGGGAGGTGCCGGGTCATCACCCACTCCAGCCCCTACTCAGCCAGAGCCACCTCCTGCCTTCATCGGGCGGCTGCAGCTCCCAGCCCCAGCTCCGCAGATAAGTCCCTCCTGAGCCGGGTGGCAGGGGGAAAAGCAGCGAGGAACTTGGGGCAGGGGGGAAGAAGTGTGGATGGGAGCAGGCCAGGGGTGTGTGGGGGAAGAGGCGGGGCAGGGGAGGTTCTAGCACTTGTGCTAGAGTGTCTGGTTTTTAAATATTACCAAGTTAGTAACCCTATATGAGGGTGCTGTAGTTATACTGAATATGGGAGGTGACCCACTAGAGAGCTGTTGCCAGAGCTGGCCTGCAAGATACTCAGAATTTATGGATGGTGAGGCCAAGGCCCAGTTTGCAGTGCAACAAAAAATTTGAACATGACTGCCTAGGTACTACTGGGACAGATGTATTAGAAATCCCAGAGAGAGGCAGCTAGGAATAGAGTTGGTAGAATAATCAGCATGAATAATGTATTTGAGTGCTTCCCCATCAACTATCAATAAAGATTTTCATTATTCAAATACCTCTGTACTACTGTGATATTATTTTGTGAATCTCTTTGACCAATCTGATACATTAGTAATAACTTCCTTCCTTATTTGACCAGCACTAGATGGGACTAGACCTGCTGCTTCTGTCTGACCACGTGGGTGGAGGGAAGCGAAAGGAGAGATTAGGGGGAAATTAACCACTCTGGGAGGGTGCCC